CCCCCCCCCCCCCCCCCCCCAACATGCCAGTGGTCTCCATGGCAACCCCATTCTCCACGTCTCTGCATCTCCCGTTGTTTCCTCCTCCTCCTCCTCCTCCTCCTCCTCTTCCTCCTTTACGTCTAACAGAAAATCCATTGGAGGGAGGCAGACGAGAGAAACACAAATCGATTCCCCGTGAGCACAAAGAGTTTGTCACCGTGGTGGTGGCCAGATGCTCCGAGTCGATCGGTTTCATCTACTGATTCATTCCTCGGTGATGTCTCTATTTTCACCGGCGCTTATTGGAGACAGATGGGAGAGTGGGAGGACGTTCAAAGAATGACTGTCAATCAAACGGACGGGATGTTATTAGCCTGTATGGGGAGGTAGACATTCTGTGACAGGGAAAGAGGCTGCTGTGTAGAGTCCCTTCTACACACATGAAGATATTTTATGAAACAAAACTGTTCCTCTAGATTTTAAATATAATTCTGTCCACACGACCTTCGTTTTACAAAATATCTCCGTCCACACTGGGACACAAAACCCGACACCAACCGCTGGGCCAGTAGGTGGCGATAAATGTGACGTCAACGATACCTCAAATACCAGAGAGGAAGATTCTAAGCATGCTCAGCGAGCTGATTCTCCTTGGCCATATTTACAGGCGGCGACCTCCAGTTCTGACAAGTGACGGAGGGCGACTCCTCCGGTTCTGCTAAATGAAGTCAAAGCTTCATGTGTTAAACCTGCATTCTCTCTAGTGCCCACCAGGGGGCGACTCCTCTGGTTGTATAGAAGTCTATGAGAAAATGACTCTACTTCTCTCTTGATTTATTACCTCAGTAAACATTGTAAACATGAGTTTATGGTCTCAATCTCTAGTTTCAAGTCTTCTTCAATACAGCATGATGTTCATTTAGTACATTATGGTCCATTTAGAGTCACACAGACCATAAAGCAGGGGATGCTTTAGGGCGGGGCTACACAGTGATTGACAGGTCTCTACGTCACTCCTCCTCAGTCCAGATATGGTCACTTCCTGTTCATCGGTTGCAAAAAACCAAGATGGCGACGACATAAATACCGAACTCAAGGCTTCATAACATCAGTCCACAATCCAACGGGTGACGTCACGACGACTACGTTCTTATTTACGGTATAAGCCTGTTAACAGTCAAGCAGAAGCTAATCACTTCTAAGAATTCGATATTTGGTGCCACGGCGAAAACTTGAAAATAGACTCACATGTGGACGAAGGACGAGGTGGAGCTGCTGCTCAGCGTCACTTTGCAATATAAGGAGATAAAAACACGAGAACATCTAGATTGGGAGTTTTGTTTTACGAAATGATTCAGACGTCCTCGTGGTCTGGAAGACTCTGAGAAGAGCACGCAGGCATTGGGCGATGACGTCATCGGTTCTAAGTAACCAGAGTCTTTAAATACCCTGGAGGCGTTTAAAAAAATGCTTTTATTTGTAGATATTTTATTGTCATTTTTCTTCCGTTTTGTGGACGGAGGGTGAAGACCCCTGTGTGTTGCAGGTCCCTCAGGGCCCCTCACAGAACAAGGAGTTTCCAGCAGTGGCACAATGGAGAAGTAGTTTATTGTAAATATAGTTGATGTTGAAAGTTCTTCCTCCTCCTCCTCTTCCTCCTTCTTGTTCTATATTTAACATAGGAGATTTATAGTTTGGTCAGTAAAACCTACATTTTAGTTTTTTGCTGCAGATGCATCATTTCAAAGAGATATTTATTCTCAAAGTGCACCATTCCGTGTTTCCTGCTTGATCTACATTCTATTTCAATTTTAGTTTTTTAATCCAAACCTTGATAATGAATATTTTTCACGAGGTTTCACTAGGTTTAAGTGTAAAGAAACAACTTGTGAAGAGCACTCAGGGTTCAGTATCTCAGACGTCTTTTCGTTCTGAACATTTCTCCACATCAGAGACATCCGCCGGGTTTGAGTCCCGTGTCTTCTCCTAAGTCCTTAAGAAGCCTCCTTCACACCTTTGTGACCTCGTGGATTTCACCGCACTTGAAGACTTAAAGAGAACGTGCTCATGAAGTCCACGATTCATCAGGTCCCTGAGGGGGCTTCATGTGGACTTTCTTTTAGAGACTAAGGGACAAACGTCACCGCTGTCACTGAATCAAATGCACTACGATACAGACGAGTGACGAATGACTGTAATCCACAAGAACATAACTTATATATAAAGTGTGACGCGACGTTACGGGCTTCGTTTAGAAACATGATGCGATTGTAGAATGTTGTAGAAACAAACAGATTACACAGAAATGACCAGTTTATATATATCGACTCCCGACAGGTGAGTCCAATCCCTCAACGAGCTGGGAGGAGCCAGCCAATCAGGGAGGAGCCAGCCAATCAGGGAGCACCTGCCAGTTTGTCACTTTGTTCTATTTAGAAAAGAAAACAGATCTTAATAATAAAATACTGAATACTTCTCTTTGGCCTCACAGCGCTCATGCTGGATACGTTTACACTGTAAATAATATCGTGTTCTGACGATGAGCGTCCTCATAAAACATCTTTTTTTAGTTGAGTTAGAGAACATTTCCTCAACACTCACAGACATTGAGACGCATTCCAGCAAAGTGCGTGAGGGTTTAGTTCTGTGTCACGGTCAGATCGTCCCGTGTTTGAGGGTCTTTCTCTCAGACGTGTTCAGCCCCTCACACTGAAACCACCTACCAGGTGAAGCAGGTTTAGTCCCTGAGGGTTCAGGGTCTAAGGGTCTCAGGGTGAAGGGGTCAGAGATGGGGCCACATGTTAGTCTGCTCTTGAGGCAGAGAACCAGCTCGTGTGTTTGACTGAGCTTCTCCTGCCACCTGGTGGACGTTTGTACTCGCTGCATGAGGCTCGTGTTCCCTTTCTAGCATCACACGTATGAGACTAAGAAAGGTTCAGTCAGACGGAGGCACCACTGGTCGTAGTCATTACCAGCTGAGCTTCCACTGCAGATATCTGAACCTAAAACTGCTTCTTCATGCGTGTTGCTGTGACGAGAACCATGAAGTCTGACTCTCCAACATGTGGAACTGATGAATTAAAAATAAATGAATTGAATCATCTCACCAATGAGACTGAACACCAGATTGATCTGCTTCCTGTCTGGTTGTGTGTGCTGCTGGTCAGACGGCATGAAGTCAGTCCAAACACCCACAAACACATCTTTAAACATGTCGTCTAGTCTAGCATTAAGACTAGATGCATTAAGACTAGATGCATTAAGACTAGATGTTTTTTAAAGGAGCAATATTTCTTTTGCATTGTTTTTATTTGCATGAATTGTCTCGACTGTACCTGTTTATGTTAATGAGTTCATTGAAAACAACCTTCTCTCTTCACCCACCTGACAGCTGTTCATCAGACAGCTTAGTCAGCATTCTGGAGTTCTTCTCAAACCTTTCACCTTGTATTTGAATAATTGTTTTAATTCTGCTTATTTTCACATGATGTATTATTACAAGATTTCTGGTCAACCTGGAAAACTTTCAATTCAAAGTCATGAATATAATATTCCATGAATCCCAGATTGTCTTGGAACATAACGGTGGAAATCAACTCTGATCCGGTTGATAGAAACTGTTTAAATGTCATTTATGTTCACGTTTTTACTCAGCTCATTGTTCCTAGTTACTGAAACACACGGCCTGCCTGCTGCTCTGACAACAAGTAACATGAGTTTTATTGATCTATTTTACAGTTCTTTCATTAACATTGTTTGTATTTTGGGTATATTCGTCTTTTAGATTCATTGTGTTTTCATTTGCTGTTCAGATCTGTCTGAAAGCTGCTTTATAAATACTTATAATACACATTTCGTTTTATCTGAAATGATAATGAAATTACAAAAAAATCATGTAACTCATCCCAAAATATTCTGTATGTGAGAAAAATGTTTAAAAGCATAAATAATATTTAAGAATATATATATATATATATATTTAAAATGATATGATGAATACGATGTGACCAAATAAAGGCAACGAGACACAAGGCTTGTATAAAAAAGTAGACCCCTTTTATTGTGTTCTCATATATAAAAGAAATACAAAAGAAGAAACATGGACACCGGGCGAGGGTCAGAGCGGGACGGGGGTCTGGGTTTTGGGTTGGGGCGACATAAAAAGGGAACGACAGGAGGAACGTCCGACAGTCCGACGGGATCATTCCAACAGACATCGAACAGACGAGAGGGGGGGACAGTCCGGTACCCCCCTCCCTATAACCCCACCTCCTCCTCTTCCTCCTCCTCCTCCTCCTCCTTCCGGGAACAAAGCGGAGTTTCAGTTCTACGCACATTCATCAACAGCAGAGCAGTTTGCGGGAGGGCTGAAACAATCTCATTGGTTGAGTTAAACCTGAGTGGGAGGAGCCAAGAGAAAGCTTCCGACTCTGGAAAAGTGAGAATATTGTGAAGTGACTTCATTCAGTCTCGATGTTGAGAGGTTTGAACGCGTTAGCTCGGCGAGCTAACCTGCTAATGAGCCTCTTAATGCGAGGTCGGTCTGGTGTAGAAACTCCTGGTTTACATTCAGAGTTTCTCTGCACCCTGCAGGCCTCACAGACTCCTTCCTTCGTGAAACATTTGGAAAGACTTTTGTTAAATTTGAACATGCACCATGCACCTCCTTCATCTTTGTCTTTGTTGGCGCGTCTTGCCGTTAGTACTCGTCCTCTGTGAGGGTCTGTGTGCACATGGCAGAAAGGTGGCCGCAGGGAGCGTCGCTCCTTTGCTTTGTGTGATCTATTTGGGCTACTATCTATTTGTTTGACCTTTTCACCATGAACACTTCATACTTCGTACAGATGAGCTTGTCTCCGCTCAGTCTGACGACGTTAGAACGAGGAGAAACAAGACTACGGTAATAAAAGCTCACCAGCAACATTCAGTGTCCGCCCGGCCGATCTCCCACAAATGGGCGTTTGGGACACGAACAAAACAAGCTTCTGCTATATTTACTACACTGATGTTACCAAAACTCCAGAGATTTTGAACTTGAAGCACAGAGCGACGGCACAAAAAATGCAGAGCGCTCAGAAAAAAGAAGCTGGGTGCAGCGGCTTTTCTCTCGGCGGCCGCACACGCTCGCACACGCTCGCTCTTCATTGGAACAATTTAAAAATTACGATGGCGCTCAGAAAAGGCGCCATGTGGACACAGACCCTAAAGCTTTCTCTGCGTATACCTGCCGCGGTGTTTACGACTATCTTTGTAGAACCATGTTGGAGAGACACGGATTAGTGTTGACGAGTGAGAAGTTGACGAATCCCATTCATGTTCTATGGAGAGAGCGAGAGAGCCGGTCGCCAGTTGCATGATGGGTACGACACGGCGAGTTGACGGGCCGTTCTCCGCATCTAAATTTGCATAATCACGACTCAACCTCAACTTTATGCAAATAAAGTCCGTCCATCGCAAGACAGCAAGTTTGTCAAACTCAGATCAAACTGTCAAACTAGATAAAACAATGAATCAATATTCGGTTACTGTTTGGTTTATTTCTCGCCTTATGTTTCAGAAACATATTTTAATGTCCTGTTTATTTGTAAAATGAGAAGGTTTGAGACCCGGCATCAGTCGAGCCAGAAGCAAGCCCCGCCCTGCTGCCGGAGCAAACCGGACCGCTCGAGGTTGCATCCTTTTTTTCCCGTTTGTTGGCCGGATTTGTCGGATCTCCACCGTGAAGGTCAGAAAGTGTTTCCATGATTCCATTTTACCTCAACGAGTAGCTACGAATGTCTTCATCCTGTCGACGCCGAGAACAGAAGGCGTCTCATTCAATTTGTGTTTGGAATGGATTCTAACTTTGGTAGAGGAACATAACGTCTCTTTTCTGAACCCTGCCTGTTGTTCCAACAGCCGTCAGTAAGCACAGAACCAGACCTACTAAAATGTGCGTCCATCCGGAGGTCTGGAACCAGGCGAAGACTCCGGCAAAAGTTGTTATGACTCCTGAAGGACTTCCTCCTTCTTTTCTGTGTCCAGAAAACCTGCACCCCCTGAAGTTTTAACTCAACCACTGGGATCGTTTTTTGCCCGTAGAGCAGCTCCTCCTCTGAGAAACCCGCGTGGAACCGAAGCTCTGGTCCTCCCTTCAGGACAGCTCAGTCTTATCGGCTGCCTCGGTGTGGTGCCCCGCTCCCACCTCGGAGCTACCGGGCGCTAACAATGTCCTCCGGTTGTAGTGGTGGTGGCCCTTCATGATGCCCGAGTTGTTGTTCTCGTTGAGGATCTGCTTCTGCTTCTGCCGGTTGAGCGACTGCACCAGGCCGAGCACCACGGCGGCCAGCGAGTACTGGCCGGTGATCTTGCGCGGCTGCATGATGAGCGGGTTGGGCTGCACGCGGCCCAGCAGGAAGTGCGTCCGGATCTTGCCCTCCTGCTCGCTGATGCCCTTCACGTAGATCTCGCCGCGGTACTCGAAGGCGAAGCCGCTCTCCTTCAGGATCAGGTAGGTGTCCTCGGGGACCTGGATCTTGCCGCTGACCCCCGTGCTGTCCATCCGGCTGGACAGGTTCACCATCTTCCCCCAGATGTCGTACTGAGGCTTCTTGGCGCCGATCACGCCCGCCACCACCGAGCCGTGGGCCATACCTGTTCAAGACACACAGGTGATCAGATGATATCTTTGGCTTTCGGCTATTTCTTGGATAAAACAAGATCATCCTGAGCTCTGAAGACGTAATGAATGGTTAAGTGATGCGTGCATCCTTCATCATGGGATTAGAAACATGTTAAATGAAGAGATTAGAGATTAAAATAGGGATAAAGATGTGATGAGCAGGTGAAGAGTTAAGAGGAAGCATGAATAAAAACTAAAAAGGGAAAGTAATGACTGGAAGAATCGGAGCTCTTACCGATCCTCAGCTCGAAGTTGTTGAACGAGTGCTTGTTGATCTCCTGGATGCTCTCGTTGAGGGCGATGGCGAAATCCGCCAACTCACACAGGTGACCCCATTTGTCTTCACATTGCTGCGGGTCACAGGAGAAGAAGAGGCGGAGTCAGGACATATTCAAGTGCACGATGGTACATTTACTGACTTGTGTGTCTATTCTGACTAGAGTTTTTTTTATTTCACCAGATCCGGTGTGACCACCTAAACTGTTGATGTCATGAAAAATATGAATGCACATTGTTGGAGTTTTGCCGCAGCCCTGCAGACGAGTTAGGAAGCTTTAAACTGTTAACGGGATCAACATGTCTGGCTGGTTATTGATATTCAAACAGCAAACTACAGAATCGAGACAGGATCACAACCTGCTTAGAACAGCAGGTGTCTCAGTTCAACCAGTGACCGTGTTACCTGGTGACTTGCAGCCATAGTGACTGTATGTAAGAAGTGAACAGAGTCATCGTGACGTCTAAATTCAATAAGTAAAAACGTTTTAAGAGACATTCAAATTTCATCTTCCTTCATTACAGTTTGGTGCAACATGGTTTAAAGTTAAACCGTGATGTAATCAGATGAATTTGTATTTTGCGATCCAGTGAAATAACATCAACAAAGTTATTTTGAGTTTATGATCAAATGTCTAACACGTCGATCTCCAGTGAATAAGTGTGAGTCAGCAGATCAAGTGCACCATAAACAGGTTTTATATTTGATTAGCTTTGAGCCTCACCTGTTTCTCGGGGGACAGGCCAGAGACGGCCATGTAGGTGCTGCCGATGGTCTTGATCTTCTCGATGTCCTGGAAGCGATCCTCACCGAGCAGCTGTGACGAGAGGAAAGAAATGAATCTGTGTCATGTACTCACAAACCACTGAACTAGTATATATTAATATACAATCAAAGACTGAACGAATGAATATCCCTTTGCTGCTTTTCTTGGAGGGAATCCTGAGCTGACCACAGTCCTGCTGTCACTCACCAGGAGGAAGCTCAGACCTGAGTTCATCTCCGTGTCCCTGATGCTTTGTGTGTTGAGTGTTTATTCTTTTCTATCTGAGATAAATGTGGTAGCTTGCAGCCGTAAACTCTCCCGCAGTTTCTGCTTTTAATTAATCTCTTCAGAAGTGTTCTGAGGAAACGAGCCGGATGTTTTCATTTAAAAAAGGGACGATGCAGACGTCGGAGATGTCCCGACGTCCCGGCATCTTTCAAAGTGTGGCTGAAGTGGAAGTGGGGGCACTTCAAAGGGGCTGCGGCCTCACCTCGTCAAAGTCGGCAATGATTTCGTTGAGGAGCCTGAGGCACTCGACTCCCTGGTTATTCATCTCCGTCTGGGAGTAGAAGTCGGCGAAGCCCGGGATGGATGCGAACATCACGCCCACGGAGTCGTAGGACTGGGAGTACAGCTCCTGAGGGGGGGGGGGGGGCAGACGTCACACATTGAAACTACATTCTTTGTTCATATTCAATGTATTTGGAGTTCAAAGCATCATCCTAATGTGTTGTATCCGTACAGTTGATGCCCACACGAGGAAATCAATTGAGAAATGTGATTATTTTTTTATGTATTTATGAAATTTGTTTGATTTCAAATACATACGACTCAAACTCAAAGTTTAAGTCCCAGTGAAGCAGCAGTTAGAGCGTCTTTAGCTTCTAAACAGTGACGGAGTATTTCAGCTGTGCACAGTTTAATTAAAATCATTCGCATTTGATTGGACCACTAAAAAGTGGGCGGGCTTAGTGCGACACAGAGCTGCAGAGGACTGAGGCTCACACACACACACATGCATCAAAAACGGAGCTTTGAATGTTCTGTGATACTCCGACCTCGAGCAGCAGCAGAGTGGATGATACTGCAGCTGCACATCACTGTCTCCACCACCGGGGGGCAACGTCGGCACACGAAGCCCGCTGACATGAAACCACGTCCTCACATACTAATGTCATATGGAGAGATCATCGCATCATTATGGGAATATTTGAATAATAAGCTGGTAAACATAGTGTCCAACATCTCGTATAAATAACTGAAGGACTCCGGCTTCTCTCTCTCACTACTCTGCTTGACTTTTCAATTTAATTGCACTTGTGAAAATAAGCCTCTGACCTAATTGTGACATCGTCACTGACATTATGCAAACCTAACGAGCTCGGTCAAATGTCAAATATGCAGTTGAACTAATTACATTTATTTTCCACCGCGTCTCTCCAGGGTCACGTCAGTCAGAGATCTGAGGTTTGTTCGGGCCTTTGTCCTGCAACTTTGGGAGGAGTTTTCCACACGACATCGATGGGTGGATGCAGACGGGGGGCAAAAGAAAGTGAAACCCGACACAAAAGTGTGTCAGTATGTTCGTCATGTGTGGTTCTACCTCCTGATCATAGATTCCTCGTCTCCATCTGGAGACTGTAAAGGCTGTAGCAAATGATGCACATCAGTGTTAAACTGAACGAGCCGTTCAGTGAGGCCTCGTTACTAATTGCAAAGAATCTTATTTGAAAAAACATTTAAGTTTTGTCGTAAGTTTTGTATACAAGAAGTGGACGTAGTCATGATGTCATAGATTGGTTCGTCATTTTGATTGTCACCATCTTGGTTTTTGAACAGGAAGTGACCATATATGGACTGAGGAGGAGTGACGTAGAGACCTGTCAATCACTGTGT